GAGAGAGCAGTTCGTGCACTTGGCACACGCAGACATGGTAACTCGAACATGCCAGGCACCGTGTCCATTTCCCGATCCAGTCTGCTGACCGTCTCGGACAGCGGCTGGGGCGTGGTAATGGGAAGGCAGAGTGAGGTCGACGACTCAGCGCACTTTGCTCACTATAAACAATCTAACGCGCTTGAAGCTAGCAGGGTGCGCTAAGGTCGTGGCTCGGGAGGTTGCCAGCTGACGGGATAACTTGGACCTCGCAGTCGGCCCAGAGCTGTGCGTCTGTGTGGAGTGGTCGGCTGGAGATGTGAGAGTCAGGCTGCAATGGCTCCTCCTTAATGTGGCCTTTATGGCACTCCCACTATGTGAGATCCGAGTCGGGCGTTGGCGGCACGCCTGGGTGTGGCTTCGGCCGTGCCAGCCTCCAGTCACTAGTGTGTTGGTCAAAAACCTGGTTATTTGTTGTGTGGACCAGGGGGGTGTGGTGGAACGCCAAGGTGCGGGTTCGACCGTGCCATCCACCTGCGGCCACCCTCGTCTCCGGTCTTCCTGACTCTGTCTTGACACCGGGCTCAGGCGGAGGGGAGGAGAGAGTGAGGTAGATGCAGCGCAGGTCTGCTGGCATTATAAACCCATGCGCAAGTCACCGTCCCTACTCCCACCATCTGCTGTGGGGCACACGGTAGACATCGTCCAAATCAACTGTCAAACTCGTGTGTGTGTGTGTGTGTGTGTGTGGGTGTGTTGCGCCCTCAGAACGGGCCACGTGTTAGATGCGCTGGACCAACACGGGGGCCACATCGGACTCTGGCAGGCGTTATCTGTGCGCAATAACAGATGCCAACATTTGCGGGGTGCGCTGGCGGACCCTGTTGTCGGCATTCGTCGCTCAACTGGACCACTGCCGCCACCCCATTGTTTTGTGGTCAAAATCCTGGTCATTTGTGTGTGGACCAGGGGGTGCGGAGTGGAGCGCCAAGACGAGGATCCGTCCGAGCCATCCACCTGCGGCCTTCCCCGTCTCCGGTCTTCTTGACTCTGTCTTGACACCGGGCTCAGGCGGGGGAGGAGGAGAGAGTGTAGGTAGATGCTACACAAATCTACTGGCACTATAAACCCCTGCGTAAGTCACCGTCCCTGCTCCCACAATGCAGTCTGTGGGGCACACGGTGGACATCGTCAAAATCGACGGTCGAACTGTCGTGTGTGTGTGTGTGTGTGTGTGTGTGTGTGTGTGTGTGTATGCCTACGGAGTATTCCCCACGGCCCGCGGCCCAAAAAGAGGGATCCCGGATGGTGATTCGCCATCTGCGGAGGGTCCGTGTGGAGTCGCAGGAGACATTCTTGAGTCACGCGGAGAAGTGTTGTTAAATGTGCAACTGCCACCCCCTTTCTGTGAACGCAGTCCCATTGCCTCCGCGCATACCAGAGGCTAGGAGTCTGGCCGATTTTCATGTTCCAAAGGACCTGCTTATTGCATCAGACTACAGCCAATAAAGTTTACCTTTCGTGCGATTCTCTCTCATTTTTGTGCCAATATAAGGTGAAAAATGGGGACAGTTGGGGTTAACCGATCGCTATTTTGGGTTTTCCCTCAACCCCCTCCCCTCCTACGTGGATGCCCTTTCTCTTTTAACGTTGATTTCCTCCGGAGGTTTTCGTCCCCCCGTGATGGCCCGATGGGACTGAGATTCCAGAACGATATGAAGTGTTCGTAGTCTATGCTACAGGCAGGCTAAACCCACGCTACCTGCTAGTTCGTTTTTAACAAACATGATAATTTGTGTTGAGGCTGACCTGGATAAAACTGTAGTTCTAGCTACGTTCACCAAACTTAAAGCCTATACGTTGCTTTTACGGAAGATTGATATAGCCTAGAGGATTAGTTGAAGCAATATTTCCCCGGTATGAATTTGAAGCGGGCATACACAGCAGAATTTATTTGAACCAAAAAATTTCTCGACGGCTCATCAACTGCAACCTTTCGCTGTATAACAGAGATAAAGGATGAGATTGGTACAGAGATTTGAACTTCCGCAGAGAAAATCAATTCGAAGCC